TAATCAAGCGTAGATTTATTCAGAACTTATGTCAAATACACAAGCGCTTTCGGGACCACACAGGGTCCCTTCATCAGGCATAGCAGTGTCACTGCTATGCCTGATGAAGGCATAGCAGTGACACAGTGTATCTGCAACTGGCGGGGCCATCCGCGGTCATTCCAAGCACCCTTCCCCATATTCAGGGCTGTCCGGTAAGGAGTGAAACAAACCTCTCTCTTCATATCTTGATGGGGACAAGGGCCTCATTTCCACGTCCCTGCCCCGTGGATGTGGGGGTCTGCAGGGGGACTTATCAAAATATGAAGGGCCCTTTTAAGATAAGTGGGACCCCAGTTATATGGCCCTACCCCTACATGAATGAATATTCACAAAAAAAACCTGACACCATGAAAACATTTTTCATAACAAAAAATGTCTCACAATTTATCCAATGTCAATCGCATCATCCATTGATTTAGATCTAATGGTAATCACAAATTATGCTCTGCAGACACAATGACCCATGCTATGATAATCTTCTTCTGGCATGCTCCCATGGCAAATGAGAGCTTCCCAGGTGAAAGCTAAATGTCTGTGTGACATTGACTAAATATGGCTGTGACTATTTTTGGTGAATTACATCACCTGTGATCCCTGCAAATTGGGTTACATTGTAAAACATGCCAGTAGGTGTGTATAACCTGGTCCAAAACTACTCTGTCCAAACAAAAAAAAAAGGCTATACATAGTTTTGTCTTCCTTGCTTGACAAGGGCTATAATGCATGAGTATTTAAAGTTTTCAGATAGTTGGATGCAGAAAGATGTGTGCCTGTCTGCAGGTTCAGATTAGCTACAAGGCTGTGGTGGGGCAGTGCTTTAGCAGCAGGTAAAGAGGGGTCAAGAAACAAAAATAAATAAATAAATAAATGGATTTGGTTACTATTTAAAATTTCTGGCCATCTTTTAACACATATGGGTAAATCTAGTGGGAGAAGCAATCGGGAAACTGGGTCACGGAATGTTCTGAGGAATCGTACGTTTCTGTGTAACTCAAGTAACATTGCAGAAATATCCTCTTCCTCTACAGATACATAATTAGTGGTCTTTGAGTGTGAGTTTTGAGTTTAAGCCTGTGAGTGTTCTGAAGAAGCAGACAGCATTGAGCTTAAAGTGTTATTTTCTAGTTTTAACTTTATAAAAATGTGGGTGGAACCTTTGTGAAATTAGTTCATTATGCATGTATGATCTTTAGATACAGCCCATGTTCTGTCCATTAAACACGCTACAAACACTTTTCCTATCACTTTCTGCTCAGTGACATTGGTCACCAGGACAAATGGTGAATATACCAAGCAGGTGCAGACTACAGTGAAATCCTGACTAAAATCCCTAAAACTATCCAGACACACACATAAATACACAATTGAAATACCTATATTTGATGTCTTCTCTTCTGAAACATTTTTAAGGTCTGTCTAGCTATTCCTGTGATGCAGTACATCAGCTACACAGCACAGCCATGTCGGTGGTCGGATAGTGACAAGCAGCAGCACATTGATGAAGACATCCCTCTGCCCCTACCCCCCTGTAAGCATGTTCAAAAGAGAAGCATAACAGCACTATGCAATGCAGTAGAGTCTAAATGGCTTCAAATGTGCCAAAGGTTATTGGTAGGCTGATATCAAGGCAGAGCAAGGACATTTTGGTAGTTGTAGAGTATATAATTAAATATTTATTTTTTTAAGAATACATTACTGCTGCTTAAAGCCGCAAGGGCATGTATGTAACCGCTCAGGGCCCCCTACTGGTTTACCTGGGTGTAGATCACAGCTGCAGAAATAATAGTATGCTGGTAGCAAACCAGCGTAGCAATATAGAAACAGATTGATTAATTAGGGTATCAGACTCGGGCTGCAGAGTGTCCTGTCAGCTGTAAATGGTGGAAGGTCCTGTGCACACAGGATGTATGGCAGGAGAGGAGATGGGGATCTGACCGGCCCAATAGGTGTGGGGAGTCTGTGGAGACCGACGGGGGAACTTGTCTGGCGTCTACACACTTGCACGAACGCCAGGCAAGTGCACCCGCCAGCTTAAGCAGGGAGAGAGGGAGGAGTCTCGTGACCTCTGGTCTGGCATCACCAAGTGTCCAGCGGAGCTCCGAGCCGTGCCGGAACCGAGGGACAGGTAAGACTGTTACAATGTATCCCCTTGCTATGGAAGTCGTCCCTTGCTCCTGCTTTGCGATTATGGTTCTCTAAGGTTTATGAGATTTATCTAATGGAAGATCTTACAGCCACTACAGCCACCATTCGGAGGAGCAGTTACGTACTGCTTGGAGACCGTGGTTGCATTATACTACCACTGAACCCCATTTGCTGATTATGGCCTCGGAGCTTACTTGGTGATATGCTATTCTTGGTGGGTGGTTTGAGTTGAGCTTGAGTCGGGTAGGTAATTTTAGTTTGGTAACCCCTGCCTCTAGATTTCTGTGGATGGCTGGTCAGGTGACCGAGAGCCCTTTTCTTTCATCCCTTTCTTCTCTTATGTTCTTTTGTTCTCCCACTGTGTTTCCCCCTTGTTAATTTTCTTGTTTTGTATTTATTTTCACCCTTCTTCCCTTCATGTTCTCATAGCTTTCTTTCTCTACTGTGATTCCTTCCTTTCTTTCTTAATGTGCGTTACTTTAATGATTGAGTTTTACGTTTCACCACAAATCCTGTTGGTTCTAGTTATATATTGCGTACATACCACGTAGGCATCTCTTCTTATTGTTTCGTCCCTACTTTCTTAGGGTTGGTGTTTTATTTCTGTGGATTTTTGCTTTGTGATTGTTATTTGTGTACCCCACTTATGTGATTTATTTCTGCAACTATTTTTACTCTTGTGAGTGCTGTAACAAGGACACTCCACTGTAGCCAGGAAATGCAAGTAAAACACAGCTTTTTTTAAGGGCAAACACAAAAGGTCTGTTTTCATCAACACGGTAGACTTCCCCTGTTGCACAAGACAGCTTCCAGCAGCAACATAAAGGCAATCTTTTGTTCACATAAAGGTCATATACAGTTCTTGTAGCATATACAGTCCTTAGTAGCTTTCCTCAGCTCTAAGCCTCTCAGCACACCTCTGTGTGATACTTACACTGCTCTCACCGCAGTGGATCACGGACCCTCTCAGCGGTGTCCAACAGGTCCCTTGGGTCACCAAACTTTCTGACCTCTCCCCTCGTGGCCACTCACACTGATCTCCCCGAAGTGCGTCCAACAGGTCCCTTGGGTCACCGACCTTCCTGACCTCTCCCAGCCTCCCCCGACTGTTCCACGTGCGTTCAGCACGTACCTTAGTCTGCCTGTGTATGTGTGCTTCCTGAACAAACACAACTGCAACTCTGAGCTCTGGGCTGGCTTCTCAATGAGGCTGCTCTCAGACACCGGATCAGCCCAGACTGGTCATTAGCAACACCTGGCCCCGGGACTAGAGATTCCATCCCACTATAGTCCAGAAAACCAGGAAGGAACTGAAAAGCCAGTTCCTCCTCTGCCAAGGTATTCACATGATGGAACCTCTCAGCCCCTCTAACTGAGTGTACTTGGGGACTGTGTTTCCAAATTACATCATGGCATTGGCTTACACTGCCACAGTGCCTTTTGCTGAATTGTAGCAATTTCATTGTATATCTGTTAATAAAGGATAAAAAAAAGAAAAAAAGTAAAGACATTACTGAAATAATTGGTGATTTCTGCCTTGAGTTCAGCTTTAATTTTGTTTAGTTGCTGTAGGCAAGATGTAGAAGACTTTGCATAACAAAAGCCAATTCATTTTAAAAGCTTTTTGACCATTTTTAAATTATGGAACAGACATGATAATGGTGTGAACCCAATATGTACCCTTTTTTTTTTCTTCCCCATAGATATTGCTTCATTTTACAAATCATGGTCTGCTTTGTGGTGAACATGTCCTTCTGCCTTTCTTAGTTGAGGAAGTTTTTTGCAAAGCATTTAAAATGTGTGCTCTGATGAGCCAGTAATTTCCTAATGGATTAAGTACTTTCTGCCCAGCACTGTTCATTAATTCATTTCTTTAAATTGCTGAATATAAACCGTGCAGATCCTCAGGTTATAAAGTGAACTCAAGCCATGAATTGTATTTTATGCTTGCTGACAGCCAACTTGTTAAGCAGTCTCTTTATGATGGCAGGGTTTAAATGCCAGTTGACTTACCATATGATCTTGATGACCAAGGACACCCCTGGTTTAGATACATTTGTTGTTCCGCTAATATTTATACTTTAATATACTGTTTGTATAACATTAAATTTGCAGATTTTATTAAAATAACACTTGTTGATAGAAGGTCCTACTTCTGACACTTCTTGTTATAGGGTAACCACACTCTGTTTATGTCTTCTAAGTGTGCTCCTGCATTGTTACCTTGGAACACAGGCTTTTGGTGAAGGCAAGATGTGTACATGTCTGCACACATTACTCAGGCATGGTTCACTGCCATCACCATCAGAAAGCCCATCTTGAAAACATATGTGCAACCAGTGCTGGAGTGCATCCATGTAGACCAGGGGTGGGGAACCTCTGGCCCTGCAGCTGTGGTGAAACAAAAAATGCCATGATGCATCTGTCTCTGGGAGTAATGCCTGTGAGAATCTTGCAATGCCTCATGGGATTTGTAGTTTCACCACAGCTGGAGGGCTGGAGGTTCCCCACCCCTGATATAGACAGAAAGTAGCTGCAAGGAGACCATAGGAGATCACCAGCACTGAGACTCACCAAATGTAAAAAAAAAGGTTAAACAAGTTTTTTTTTTAAAGTGGCAGTTATTTATGATGTAATTTAGAAAACTAAATGCCATTTATTTAGGGTTTATTTCTTCTTTAAGACATTTTTACATTAATTTGGCAAGTACAACATCTATCAAATCTACCACAAGTTTAATCAGTCATTTAAATGATCTGGCTTTTGTAACGCTTATAAGCATTTAAAAAATGTCTTCTCTTCTTCTTTCAGCGGACGGCTGCATTGACTGGTCAGTCGATCTCAACACCTACATGTCGTTGGCAGGAGAACCTATCCGAGTAAAATGTGCCCTCTTTTACAGTTATATCAGAACTAATTACACAATGGCTCAGAGTGCTGGACTCAGGCTTATGTGGTACAAAACCAAAGGAGACTTGGAAGAACCTATTTTATTTTCAGTGGCTAGAATGAGCAAAGATGATGACTCATTGTGGATCCATTCAGCTGAGGTACAAGACAGTGGATTCTACACCTGTGTCTTAAGGTGAGACTTAATGCTTTTTAGTATGAGTTACTCAGTACTGATCTAATATAGGGATCACAGCAGTAAGCTTTGATCATTCATAACATCATACCCTCACCTCATAATATTTATGTAATCAACACATTACATCTGAAGCCCTTAATGGATTCTATTTTTCTTGCTTCTGAAAACATTTAATACAATTGATTCAGTAAAAACATCATATATTTACTACCAAATCAAGTGGTATTCTGTTATCCATCATTGTGTGATGATTCCTAGACATGTGCGATTCGTTTCGTTCCGAATCGAAACTCGGACGAAATTTCGGAGATTTGGATGAATCCGAATTCCGAATTACAGATATCATGAATGCAAACAAATTCGAATTTCCGATTCCAAAATTCGTTAGCAGTAGTCTGTAGGAAATTTCGTTTGGCGAAATTTCGTTGCAGCAGTGACATTTGAGAAAAGAAAAACTTTTTTCCTCCTCTTAAATGTCACTTTGCTGCAACGAACAAAACGTAAACGAAACTAAATGGAAACAAAATTTCGTACAGACTACCGCTAACGTATTTCGTCCAAATCTGCATTCCGAAACGAATTGACTTTCGGACCCGAATCCCAAAAAACGAAATAACGCAAAATCCAAATCAAAACAAAACAATTTTTTTGCTGGTGCACATATCTAGTTATTCCCCTTTTTTAGGCCAAAATATTTCTAATATTAGCACATAATGCATTACATTTTATCACTATTTAAAAAAAGGTTAGGTGTTTAACATTACTGCTGATTTTGATCAATACAACCAGTACCTCTTGCATCTGGCATTGCTTGTCCTATGAACCAGGAGAACTGCGGAACTTTTTGTTTTATTTTGGTTAATTTTATGTTTTTTTATTCAATTAAAAAAGTCTGTCCTTCCTCCAAAGAGATAAGCAGCCTAGCACATTTAAGCATATTTCAAGTATATCTGGAAGCCCTCTGCTTTATTAATACCATTTTGTTTTTGTGGTACTGTTTGGGCATGTGTTTTTAATTGGAGGTGACCTTCTGTTTTAAACCTGTGTCGCCTTCAGGAGAAGATCTTGTGAGTTATATTGTCAGCCCTCTGCCTCATTTACTGGTAAAGGGATCCTGTTACCCATTGCACCTATTATATCTTAGCACAGGGCGTACAAAAATGTAAAAAATTGTAGACCCCAGTATGAAGGTAAATACAAAAAAAGTATAAATTCCTTTCAACATAACAAGAATTGTATGACATCTTTAGGATATTTGACATATATTTCTTAAAGCATGAATCCTATTTTTCTGCATATTCATGTATAAATGTATTTTTTTACTCAAAGTATTTGTCATAATAAAGAGAAACAGACATGAAACGCCAAGAAAAGATACAGTGGTGTTGATTTACTAAAGAAGCAGAGCATGTTCACATTGCAAGGAAATGTTCACTTAGCTTAGTGAATGTAGGAAAGCTGTGCTGACTTCAATCATCCAATCATGTGAAAGCAAAATGGGATTTTTTAAAATTGTCCTTGCATATAATTAGGTATTTTTTGCAAATTATCCTTCAAAGGGAAAACACTTTACTCATTTAGTAAATCACACCCAATGTAAGAGCTGTACTTGTAATCGATGCTCCTTAAAAATTGAATTTTTGTGTTTTCCTCTTGTTGTCAATGGAGCTGGCTCCTAAACAAAAATCTGCTGGCTCCTGGATTAGACAGATTGGCTCCCTGAATTCCATATTAACTTGTCCACCCCAGTGAGTCATAAACAATTGCCATGTTTGTTTTCTTGATAAAATACTTGTTTTCACGTTTTTTATCTTAGTTTGCATCTCAATGCTGCTGATCTCTTCCAGCCTCTTTCATCTACTTCCTATGCTACTTCCTTCCTTCTTTATGCACTCATTCATTGGCTGTACATCACTGCTCTGGACTGCACATCTCTGGAGTTTTTATCAGCAAGGCCTCTTTTTGTCTCAAACAAGGGAGCATGTAACAAGGTGGCAATGCAGGAGAATATTTGGGGTGTTTCCATCCCCATATGCTTCTACAAAGACCTTTTATGACACGATCACTAGACATTTTCTTAATTAAAGCTGTATATTTAAAAATACTAAACAACTTTTGGAATGATATTAACATGTTAAATAGTGGTTGGGTTTAGATTTATTTTAAAAAACAATGCAGTGAACTTGAAATTGAGATTCTCACCATAATCACTGAGGAAAGAACATTTAAACAGTGAGAATGAAAAGGAGAAGATAGGAGGACAAGAACTAAAGAAATAAGCAGTGCTGTGTATATGTGTATCCATAGTACTATTTAGAACCTGTAACCTTACAGATACTCTGCGGTTTAAAAAAAACTATAAAGACTATTGTGTGAATATCCACTGAAAAAAGGACAATCTGAGCAGCATCCAATCAGAAAAATGGAACACCAAGCCAAGCCAATTGGACTATATTTGAGGAAACGTTTGGATCTGTTGGAGGCCTCTACCAGTTCCTCCATCATCAATATGCAATTAAGTATGTTAACTCTTTCTATGATGGGAAAAGGATCAGGGGGTGTAAAGCAGTGAATAAGAAACTGCATATCTCCTGTTGCTAACACAATAATGGACAATATTTTATCCCAGGAAGCTTTAGGGTATAGCAGCTCCAACATATGAAAGAAGGTGCCCTCCATTGGTAAATTCACCAATATTTCTAGGTTGAAGGGAGCGATTTAGTGCAAAATAGGCACATAAACCAACTTTAAAGTATCTGGTCTCCTGCAGATACTTTGCAGCTGAATATAAAAACTTTGTTCTAGACCTCAGAAGAAAATTTTATGCTGCAACTGATGTCATGGTCTCTTCTATAGACCTGTACTCATACATTATCATTCTAAACCTCTCATTTTAGAGGGCAAAACAGAAAAGGAATATACAGAAATGCACACTCTGTATGATAACCAATTGGAAGATTTTACTGCTACTGTAACATTTAAGTTGTCACTGACACAGCTTGACTCTTCATAAATTATGAATTTAATTTAGGATCAGAGGGTTTGGACTAGAGGATAAACTGGAACAACTATAATGCATTTACATTTCCCAAAGTGATTTACAAATGGCAAATGATTATCTTGGAATGTATCTATGCTAGGCAAGTTAGTTAGCAAATTTAACTTTACCTTAGTCTTCTGGGAGACTCTGAACTTGTCTTCAGTATTATCTTGCTAATATAAGAGAGGGCTGTGCTGTTTGATGATATGCTGCAAAGTTAGGGAACACCTTACTGTCATTGTGCTTAGGCTTGTTTAGGACATACACTGAGTGGCCAGATTATTATGATGTTTGTAGGCAAATTAGCTATAATTGCACGCTGAAGTTGCTAGAGGGCCAGACCATTATAAATAGGGAAGCAGGTTGTTTACCACGACAGTAGAAGTGATTTTTTTCTGAAGATATGGGTAAACAATGTGATTTAACAGCCTATGAATGTGGGATGATTGTTGGCGCTCAGAGCCATGGAGCGAGTTTCAGCAAAACAGCAGAATTCATTAAATGTTCAAGATCAGCTGTTGTTAAAGTGTTTAAAGACTGGACTGTCAGCCGAAAATCTGGGTCTGAACGTGCGAATTGTGGCCCTCAGCGACTAGTCAATGTTAGGGCAGAATGGAGACTGGCAAGACTGGTACAAGACAACAGAAGGGCAACAGTGCAGTGTCAGATTCCTCGCATCACCTTTCAACATCTCGTGGAGTCACGAGGTGGCCCAACGAAGTCATCTCGTGGCCCAACGAAGTACTGATGGGGTGGTCATAATAATCTGGCCATTTATGGACAGAGACTAGAGGGATTTAAAAAAACTTGTATTGATTGGTAGTATATTCCATGCCCTTGGAGCATTAGACAGTTTGGTGAGCAAATGGTGATAATTTAGAGGGTAAATTTCTTGGAAGTTTCCAAGTATATAATACCTTTTTATTGCCAGATAAAAGATAATGTTTAGGATTTGTTCGTTGGCTGACGTGTGTAAAGGGATGTTGGTTACCTCCATCTTAGTGGTGTTCATTTTAACTTATATAGGTAGTTAAATAGATACTTAAATCTGTGTGGTGATGCTCCTTCATTATCCAGTCAGAAGGAGCTAGAGTCATTGGTGTCAGTGGACTATTTAACTGTGGCGCTCCTAATACTGCAATGCTGACACCTGGCTCAGAGTCCTAGCTTTAAAGAATAACACCAGCACCATAAAAATACAGGCACCCTCAGACACGAGATCAATTTGCCCAACGGTGTCTGTGGCAGAACCAAGGGCAGCTTGCACTTGCTGAAGGTTGTGTGTCCATCAGACCACCCTGTTGGTACCGTAATTAACCAGTTTAGCTTGTGCACATGTATAGACTTTACAGAGCAGTGACATTTTTGGTGATATTTTTTTTTATTACTTAAGATAACAAAGTAATGCATATATTGTTGTTTTCAATACAATCAAGGACTTATTAGGCAATATTGTTTTGCAAATTTCATTTTCTTTGCAATCATTATCCAAAAAATATCTAATAAAAAACTTTAGAAAGCAGTTTTCTAATTTTAGTCTGTATTGATTTTGACTTAATTTTTTTTAGTATTTAGTGTACATGTTATTCTATAATTAAAGTGATATAAAAGTCAAAATGTATTACGGCACTTCAAATGCTAACCACATTCTAGTTTCCTGCAGAATCAGCTGGTCCACTGACCAGTGGCCCTGATATCCTGTTTTAGGGTTAGGCTCTTTTCCCTTGCAGGATCCTATGGAGCCTGGGTGCTCACCAAGCTGTGTGTGTCTCCACAAACACACAGGCACTGCAAGGCAAGACACTCCCTTTCTCCCCGATCCTCCTTCTCCAAGCTAGTAGATGGATGCTGCTGGAGAGTTTACACTGTCCCTTGTGATCTTGTACTAGAAAGAAAATTCAGGAAAGTCATCCTGAGAGATTTGGAGCTGTTTGGAAACATGATGACTGTAAGTGCT